GTTTGGATTATGGTTAAAAGCAGAAGAGAAAGAAAGGGAAAAAACATTCCTAGCTGAGAGAAAAGAAAGAGGAAGAATGTTTGAGTTAGAAAAGATGAAGTTGGAACTTGAAGCAAAAAGACTTCAAATGGCAGAAGTAAAAGTACAAGATAAAAGTGAGGATGACCACCCCATCATAGCTAACAGCCTGGTAGGGATATGTACAAATATGTCCAAACATTCCTTTGAAAAACTGGCTAGGCAGATGAATTGGCCAGAAACTGTGTGAGTAATGTTAATTCAGACCAAGTTAGTAGGTAGGGCTAGTGAGGTGTTTGCAGCGCTGTCAGAGGAGGTGGAAAGAGAATATGAAGAAGTAAAACAGGTTATTTTGAGCACCTACTAATTGATACCAGAAGCATATAGACATTGGTTCAGAAATATAAGGAAGGTACCAGTTCAGACTTAAATTGAGTTTGAAAGAATTAAACCATAGCAACTTCAATAGATGGGTGAGAGTATTAAAGAGAGGAAACACATAAGAGGATCTTAGAGAGATTATTCTGCTGGAAGAGTTTAAAAACTCACTTCCAGAGATGATAAGAACTCATGTTGAGGAACAAAAATTTCAAAACAGCGAGAAGAGCTGCAGAGATGGCGAATGAATACACAGTCGTGCATAAAGTGAAATCTAGCTTCTGACAGCAATTTCATTCCATGAGGGATAGAAATTGGGAAAAAGGGAGATCCTTCAATAAAAAACAAAAAGTAGATCACACTGGGAACAGTTTACCACAGGTGAAAAAAGAAACCCAAGAGGGCAAAAAGGAGGCAAGAGGCCTCAAGTGTTTTCACTGCAACAGTGGGACACATAAAGTCAGAGTGATGCTGGTTTAAGAAAGGCACTGGGAAAAAGGATGTGGAAAAGGCGCTATACCAGTGGAATTAGTTGAGGTAGTGAAGGAAATCCCAAAAGAAATCGAGAAGCTGCAGGAGAGTGCACAGCCTAGTCTAAACCAATAAATATTCATCATAGCGAGGATAAGCAGCAGAATGTTGAAGAAAAAGTGAAAAGGAATATTGGGAACAGACTGGAGACTGGAGTAACAGGAAGCATACAGCACCTTGAGGGGGAACCAGTAAAGTCGGAACCAGAACCTCTGTGTAAAGTTTACTCAGGAAGAACAGCGGGAGAAGGTAAAAAAGTTACAATATTTAGAGATACGGAAGCTAACCAATCTGTAATAGTAAGAAATAAAAATATATGCACTCCTTCTGAAATGTGACCCAAGAGGGAGGTAATCTGTGGAATAAATGTGGAATAAAGAGATTTAGCATTTCCCTCTGTAAGATCAGGCTGGAAAGTCCAATCAAGACTGGGGAAGAGACAGTGGGAGTGATTGAAAGAGTGTCTATTCCAGGAATACAGTTTGTTCTTGGAAATGACTGAGCAGGATCAAAGTTGCAGTGATGCCCCTTGTAGTGGAGAGCCCAAAGGAAAACCAGGGAACAGAAGAGTTGGAAGAAAAATATCCTGGAATTTTTCCGGACTGTGTGGTAACAAGATCCCACAGTCACAAGTTAAAGCAAGAAGGAAAAACAAAAGACAGAGATAAAGGAGTTGAGGTCCAGCTAGCTGACACCTTGTTTAATGAAATGGGAAAGGAAAAACCTAAACAAGTTGAGGATCAGGCAGATGTATTTTGTTCTGAAAGACTAATGGAGTTACAACAAAAAGATAAGACAATAAAACATTTACAACATAAGCTACTTGGAAAAAGAATCAGAATGTATTCCCGAATGTTATTACCTTAAGGATAGTATCCTAAGGTGGAAATGGAGACCTACACAGGTTAGTGCAGAGGAGATATAGGCGGAAGTTCACCAGATTGTGTTGCCGGTAGCATACAGACAGGAAGCATTGAGGGTAGCACACAAATTACCTGTAGGAGGCCACCTAAGAGTGAGGAAGTCTCAGGCCAAGTTACAGAAGCA